ATGAGCTACAGTCCCGAACCTCACCCATTTCCCCTCAGCATCAGGAGGGGAGCACAATGCTAACTTCAGCTGCAAACGATGTTGAAATTCCTGCTTGCAACTATCCTCAGCTAGCTGAGACCAGGTGACTGTGGGCTTGAATGGGGTCCTAGATGGACACCCACCACCGGAGTGGAAGAATGGTAGGCGTATCTTACAGATGACAAGTCGATGGTTAGTGGGGAGATCAGCTCCACGGTTGGTCCTGGTGTCAACGACATGGGCCCGCATCCGCTGGTCCGTAATTATATAGACCAACAGATGTTCTTGCTTGGACCCGGCATGCATTCATGATGTTGTGTGAATGCACCAATGCTGGAACAGCGCGTTTGTAATAACAAGCCCATGGGCTGCACGTAAGTCTAGCAGCTTCCTTCCGTTATTATTGAGCTGATCTGGCCCATGCCTTCCGATCACTGCAACCCAGGAGTCTGCGTCATGACCCACTCGGGCATTAAAGTCACCTAATAGGATGACTCTATCCCGAGGGGCCACTTTAGCTAGCACCTGGGACAAGAGGTTATAGAAGGCGTCCGACTCATCGGCCATGTCTGCATCCCTCCACTGATGTCCATCTTCGGTGGGGGCGTAAGCAACCACCACCATTCCTTGCCTCTTATTGATGGGAAGGCGAGCCCACAGTAGCTTGGGACTTACAGCTTCCCACACCTCACCGCCACGCTCCCACACGTCTTCATTATTTTGTTGAAAATTGCCACTCCCTGCTGTTTGGTTGTTTCCTGCCCCTAGTGGAGAACTGTCCACCCCTCAGATACAGTACGCCATGCTACTGTACAACAGTCTACAGTACACACTACGGTACAACACGCTACTGTACACACACATTACAGTACACACACTACAGTACACACCACACTACAGACCAGACTACAGTACACACACTACAGTACACACACTACAGTACACACACTACAGACCCCACTACAGTACACACTACAGTGCACACCACACTACACACCGCACTACTGTACACACACATTACAGTACACACATTACAGTACACACACTACTGTACACACCACACTACTGTACACCCACTACTGTACATACAGTACACACACTACAGTATACACACTACAGTACACACAAAGACAAGAACACACGAACACAGACACAAAGACAGACACTAAAAAAAGCGCGCTAAAACGTTCAAACCAAAGCTTTAGACAATTAAAAAAAACTCCGATGGATAAACGCGATATTAACGCACGCAAACACCGAGAAACACAAAGCACCTCCCTACTCACTTTCAAACTCAATCAATCGCATGCGATCACGCGATAGCTCTGCCATCTTCACACACAAACAACACAACAACAACCACCACCACGTAGGTCTATCACAAACAACAACACAACAACAACAACCACCACCACGTAGGTCTATCACAAACAACAACAACAATCACCACGTAGGTCTATCACAAGCAACAACCACCACCACCACGTAGGTCTATCACAAACAACAACAACAACCACCACCACGTAGGTCTATCACAAACAACAACAACAATCACCACGAAGGTCTATCACAAACAACAACAATCACCACGAAGGTCTATCACAAACAACAACAACAATCACCACGTAGGTCTATCACAAACAACAACAACAATCACCACGTAGGTCTATCACAAACAACAACAATCACCACGTAGGTCTATCACAAACAACAACAACAATCACCACGTAGGTCTATCACAAACAACAACAACAATCACCACGAAGGTCTATCACTAACAACAACAACAATCACCACGTAGGTCTATCACAAACAACAACAACAATCACCACGTAGGTCTATCACAAACAACAACAACAATCACCACGTAGGTCTATCACAAACAACAACAATCACCACGTAGGTCTATCACAAACAACAACAACAATCACCACGAAGGTCTATCACAAACAACCACCACCACGTAGGTCTATCACAAACAACAACAACAATCACCACGTAGGTCTATCACAAACAACAACAACCACGGAGGTCTATCACAAACAACAACAACAATCACCACGTAGGTCTATCACAAACAACAACAACCACGGAGGTCTATCACAAACAACAACAACAATCACCACGTAGGTCTATCACAAACAACAACAACCACGTAGGTCTATCACAAACAACAACAACAACAACCACGAAGGTCTATCACAAACAACAACACAACAACCACGAAGGTCTATCACAAACAACAACAATCACCACGAAGGTCTATCACAAACAACAACAATAACAACCACGAAGGTCTATCACAAACAACAACAATCACCACGAAGGTCTATCACAAACAACAACAACAACCACCACCCATCACATCATCAATGGCCGAATTGGAGGTGAAGGTGGTGGGGCCGTCGTCGCCGCCGCCGTCATCGTCGACGTTTCGAGTGAGAGCCAAAGGCAGTGAGAGGCAGGCCCCGCAAGCTGCGTGAGACGATTGTCCTCCCTCCTCCCCTAGGTCGACTCGGCCTCAAGTGTGTTAAACATCGCCACTGTGGGAAGACAAAGGTGGTTGTGGTGGGGGGGGCACCACCGCTGTGTGTGTGTCGTGCCGGGTGCTACTCGCTAACAGCACTTGCCCCGGCGGCCTGTCAAGCCTATAAGGGGACCTTTGTCTTTGATGATGGAGAGAGTTGAGGGGCGGGGAGGTGGGGGGGAGGTGGGGGGGAGGTGGGGGGAGGTGGGGGGGGGGCGGGGGAGGTGGGGGGGCGGGGGAGGTGGGGGGAGGGGTGTGCGTGGTGTGTGGTGGTGGTGTGCGTGGTGGTAGTGTGGTGGTGTGCGTGGTGTGTGTGTGTGTGGTGGTGTGCGTGGTGTATCGTAGGGGTGATGGTGGTGTGTGTGGTGGTGGTGTGCGTGGTGGTAGTGTGGTGGTGTGTGTGGTGGTGGTGTGCGTGGTGGTGTGCGTGGTGTGTGTGGTGGTGGTGTGTGTGGTGGTGTGCGTGGTGTATCGTAGGGGTGATGGTGGTGTGTGTGGTGGTGGTGTGCGTGGTGGTAGTGTGGTGGTGTGTGTGGTGGTGGTGTGCGTGGTGTATCGTAGGGGTGGTGGTGGTGGTGTGCGTGGTGTGTGTGGTGGTGGTGTGCGTGGTGTGTGGTGGTGGTGTGCGTGGTGTATCGTAGGGGTGGTGGTGGTGTGCGTGGTGGTGTGCGCGGTGGTAGTGTGGTGGTGTGTGTGGTGGTGGTGTGCGTGGTGGTAGTGTGGTGGTGTGTGTGGTGGTGGTGTGCGTGGTGTGTAGTGGTGGTGTGCGTGGTGTGTGGTGGTGGTGTGCGTGGTGTATCGTAGGGGTGGTGGTGGTGTGTGTGGTGGTGTGCGCGGTGGTAGTGTGGTGGTGTGTGTGCTGGTGGTGTGCGTGGTGTATCGTATTGGTGGTGGTGGTGCGCGTGGTGTGTGGTGGTGGTGCGCGTGGTGTGTGGTGGTGGTGCGCGTGGTGTGTGGTGGTGGTGCGCGTGGTGTGTGGTGGTGGTGTGCGTGGTGTGTGGTGGTGGTGTGCGTGGTGTATCGTAGGGGTGGTGGTGGTGTGTGTGGTGGTGTGCGTGGTGGTAGTGTGGTGGTGTGTGTGCTGGTGGTGTGCGTGGTGTGTGGTGGTGGTGTGCGTGGTGTATCGTAGGGGTGGTGGTGGTGTGTGTGGTGGTGTGCGTGGTGGTAGTGTGGTGGTGTGTGTGCTGGTGGTGTGCGTGGTGTATCGTATTGGTGGTGGTGGTGTGCGTGGTGTGTGGTGGTGGTGCGCGTGGTGTGTGGTGGTGGTGTGCGTGGTGTGTGGTGGTGGTGTGCGTGGTGTATCGTAGGGGTGGTGGTGGTGGTGTGTGTGGTGGTGTGCGTGGTGGTAGTGTGGTGGTGTGTGTGCTGGTGGTGTGCGTGGTGTATCGTAGGGGTGGTGGTGGTGTGTGTGGTGGTGTGCGTGGTGGTAGTGTGGTGGTGTGTGTGCTGGTGGTGTGCGTGGTGTATCGTATTGGTGGTGGTGGTGTGCGTGGTGTGTGGTGGTGGTGCGCGTGGTGTGTGGTGGTGGTGTGCGTGGTGTGTGGTGGTGGTGTGCGTGGTGTATCATAGTGGTGGTGGTGTGCGTGGTGTGTGGTGGTTGTGTGTGTGGTGGTTGTGTCCGTGGTGTGTGGTGGTGGTGTCCGTGGTGTATCGTAGTAGTGGTTCTGGTGTATCGTAGTGGTGGTGGTGTGTGGTGGTGTGCGTGGTGTATCGTGGTGGTGTGCGTGGTGGTGTGCGTGGTGTATCGTTGTGGTGGTGGTGTGCGTGGTGTGTGGTGGTGGTGTGCGTGGTGTATCGTAGGGGTGGTGGTGGTGTGTGTGGTGGTGGTGTGGTGGTGTGTGGTGGTGGTGTGCGTGGTGTATCGTATTGGTGGTGGTGGTGGTGCGCGTGGTGTGTGGTGGTGGTGTGCGTGGTGTGTGGTGGTGGTGTGCGTGGTGTATCGTAGGGGTGGTGGTGGTGTGTGTGGTGGTGGTGTGGTGGTGTGTGGTGGTGGTGTGCGTGGTGTATCGTATTGGTGGTGGTGGTGTGCGTGGTGTGTGGTGGTGGTGTGTGTGGTGTGTGGTGGTGGTGTGCGTGGTGTATAATAGTGGTGGTGGTGTGTGTGGTGTGTGGTGGTGGTGTGTGTGGTGGTGGTGTGCGTGGTGGTAGTGTGGTGGTGTGTGTGGTGGTGGTGTGCGTGGTGTATCGTAGTGGTGGTGGTGTGCGTGGTGTGTGGTGGTGTGCGTGGTGTATCGTAGTGGTGGTGGTGTGCGTGGTGTGTGGTGGTGTATAGTGGTGGTGGTGTGCGTGGTGTGTGGTGGTGTGCGTGGTGTATCGTAGTGGTAGTGGTGGTGTGCGTGGTGTGTGGTGGTGCTAGGGGAGTGGTGATGAGAGTGGGGAGGAGGGGAGGAATTGGGGAGGAATGGGGGTGTACGGGGGGCGGCGTGCAGAGCCCCAGGACCAGTGAGGACGGGCTCTGGCTCGGCACAGCCAGGCGCACGATCGGCTGCAGACAGCAGAGAAAGGAGAAGACATTTTTGTTTTAAAGAACAAGGACCGCAGTGTTTTGACTACGAACAGTGTCGTGATTACAAGGACGTCCCTTCACGCCTTACCCCGCTTGCCTTCTACAACGCGTTGACAAATTCATCATTTAGTACCCGGGACCTAAACGTAGAGAGTGTGTTTTTAAACAGGGACCGCGCAGATAATTTTTTTTTGGGGCCGACTCGTCTTTTGATGATGCCAAAATGATTTTAGAAAAAAGAAGCAGCTGCATGAAGGACGAAGAATAATGGTTGGAGCTACGCGTGTGCGCTTTGCGTTGACAGCGCCGAATGTGTCCCCCGTCAATCACCGCACAGGTGTTGCAGCGCACGTGCAGGTAGCGGGACGCGTTAGATTGACTCCGATCACGCAAAACGCAAGTCCCGTAGAGAACCTTCATCAATTTCCGTTGCTATAATAATAACAACAACAACAACGAAAAAGCAGCACAAATCTTGCGGATAATTACGCAGTGCTATTTAGATTTTTTTTTAAAGGGACATTATAATTTTTTAAAGGGTTATTCATGCACGCGCAACCTGTAAAAAAGGTGGAGGTCAAAATGATGAAAGCATCAAAACTGCTCAGGAGCAAGGTGTGTCTCTTCATCGTCCTGGCTTTGCTGTCACTCTACGGGATTTACGAGCTCTTGCCGATGCACGGCAAATTCGACGAGCAGAAACTCATTCGGCTGGTGAAGCGATCTGGCGTCCTGTGGAAGAAAAACAAAACCGCTACGACACTGTTCAGGTAAGAAAGCAAGTGCTGATGCAATGCAACGTATATTGAGAAAAGATTCATATTCTTTGGTTCTTTCGGTAAAGTCACGTGGATAGAAAAATAAAAAAAATAAAGTGAATAAAAATAATAAACAACAAAAAAACACTGATGTCGACTGTAGCCTGGTTCTTAATCGGAGTGAGTGTACTGGCAGTCTATAATTTAGACTGGCAGCAATGGTTATTAAGCTGAGTGAGTGTACTTACAGTCTATAATGTAGACTGTAGCCTGGTTATTAGGCTGGGTGAGTGTACTGGCAGTCTATAATGTAGACTGTAGCCTGGTTATTAAGCTGAGTGAGTGTGCTGACAGTCTATAATGTAGACTGTAACCTGGTTATTAGGCTGGGTGAGTGTACTGGCAGTCTATAATGTAGACTGTAGCCTGGTTATTAGGCTGGGTGAGTGTACTGGCAGTCTATAATGTAGACTGTAGCCTGGTTATTAATCAGAGTGAGTGTACTGGCAGTCTATAATGTAGCCTGTAGCCTGGTTATTAGGCTGGGTGAGTGTACTGGCAGTCTATAATGTAGACTGTAGCCTGGTTATTAAGCTGAGTGAGTGTACTGACAGTCTATAATGTAGACTGTAGCCTGGTTATTAGGCTGGGTGAGTGTACTGGCAGTCTATAATTTAGACTGTCGCCTGGTTATTAAGCTGGGTGAGTGTACTGACAGTCTATAATGTAGACTGTAGCCTGGTTATTAAGCTGGGTGAGTGTACTGGCAGTCTTTAATGTAGCCTGTAGCCTGGTTATTAAGCTGGGTGAGTGTACTGGCAGTCTATAATGTAGACTGTCGCCTGATTATTAAGCTGGGTGAGTGAACTGGCAGTCTATAATGTACATAATCAACGTTTTTGGGTTAGATCTAACCCAAAAACGTTGATTATGAATAATATTGGTCGCGAAAACCTACGTGTTAAACTGATTCTATAATGTAGACTGTCGCCTGGTTATTAAGCTGGGTGAGTGTACTGGCAGTCTATAATGTATGTATCTGCACGATGCATGTTACAGCTTTTGCTCTCTGATGATGTGTTCGCGTCGTTACGGCCTGCTCTTCGGTACGGTGTCCGACGTTTCGCTCCCAAGTGCTGGGAAGCATTTTTTTTAACAGAGCAGCTCCCTACCACGTGCAGCGCAAACGTCATGCTGACAAACAGCACGCGGCGCAACCGTGGAAACCCGCGTCTCGAGTGTTCATTCAATGATTCAATCCACTACCGGATAAAGGTTTTTGAAATCCTTTATATTAAGTTCACTTGCTTGCTTGCTTACGACCGTGCAAATATTTCGGTCGTTTTTTAACCCACTTCCCGTGATCCAATCGAGCTGACATTTTGCACACAGACTCGTTGTGCGTGACAATTAATTTTCGTGAAATTTTTTTCCTAAATTTTACACTTTTTAGGAAAAAATAAATTATATTTAATTACCAATTGCTTAATGGTGGCAGGCAATCATCTGACTCATAGGTGGCAGCCATCTCAAGCCAGAGGACGAGAGGACTCTAGCCGCCACGCATATAAAGGATTTATAGTGAAAAACTTTGTTTTTACGGGTTAATTTTTTTTTATCTTCACGTCATGTGAGTCAGTAGTAGTAAATCTTGACTTAAAGCTTTCGTGACTGCAATAATTACTTACTCTTTGGGATCTTTCGGTAAAGTCACGTATATAGAAAAATAATGAATCACGACATTTCGATAGCAACGCAAGCAATCGTCCTCAGGTGCAAAAATACAGCAGACGAACCTGCTTAGGCAGACGATTGCTTGTGTTGCGATCGAAACGTCGTGATTTTGAAATTATTTGTCTATCTACCTGACTTCACCGAAACACCCAAAGAGTATCAGTAGTAGTACTTTGCCATGCTGAGTAAGTCAGTGCGGGTTGTCGGATGAGTTGAGTTGGGTGGGGTTTGGGGAGAGGACCCGCTTCAGGCAGGATTCGCCCCACTTGTAGCCGAGGTCTGGAATCGAACTCAAAATGTTCTCGCGCCAAACCACTGTGCCACCGCTCTACCACACATGTAGCATGACACATGTAGCATGACACATGCAGGAAAGATCATAGAGTCTTAAGGTAGTAAACGTATGGAGGGCATATTTGACTAAGGCTAATATTTCTTGTTTCATGAATGAATACATGAATGTTGGGCCATGCTAATTACTCAAATTTGAACCAGTTACTGTTGGTAATGATGTTTTGATGAGGTCAGATGTATAAGAGCCTCATTCATTGCACGAGTTGGAATAGTTAAGGCCGATACACTAATTAATGACTTCATCACTGGTGAATGTAATAACATGAAATGCTCACCTTGAAAGACTTTGCGTCAAAGGAATTGATGTTAGCTTTCTGCTACAGTATTCACCGGATTATAAACCGCTTTGAAGAAAGTAAGACGCACACCAAACATGTGTCCGGTGTCAATATAGTTACACAAATCTGGTCACATGCGTGCACATCGACACGATTTATAAGACGCATTCACAACTTTTGCGTTAACATACAGGAGGGTGGGAGGTGGGAATGTGCGTCTTATTATCCGGAGAATACAGTAATATTTATTGCTTGGCATTCTCCATTATCCTGGAATTTCCTTATTCTATAGTATGAACAAGTACTAGATATTCAGTATATGCACAATGCTATACGCATACAACTTATGTATATGCAACAATTGATTATATATTTTTGTAGGGGACTGTATATTTCAGTTAGGGGACTGTATATTTCAGATACAACGTTGTAGTACAGTGGACGCGTGGGCGTGGGAAATTGTACGAAGGAATATTTGGGAAGTCACACGTTGAGTCAATTAAGAACAGGTGGCCCGTCCACGTGGGGACAGTAGCTCATTGTGGATGGGGCCAAAAGGGTATATAGGAGGGAGCCCAAACGCAGTACGGGGCACAAGGCTGGGATGAGACTGAAGAAGGACGATCAAGGCGGGGTGCTGCTAGGCTGGATTCAACGTAGCTGCCCCGACTCTCCCATTTGTAAATAGACACCTTGTTAAAATGGACACCTCCAAGGTACTCATTTACACTGGTGGCAGCGGTGGGATGTCAACCTTTACATCCCGACGAAGAACCGAAAGAGGAGCTCAACAAGAGGAGGAGGTGCCGACCCGCTGGCAGTGATGTTCTTGGGGGAACCCGAGATGCTGCGACTGACGAGCCCCGTGGAAGGGTGGCGACAGTTGGCGGAGAAGGTGGACCGCCTCACCTTGTCGATCGAGCGGCTCATCACGGGGATTGTCGACGGGAGAGAGCTTGAGCGGGCCGACAGGACAGGGATGGAGCCGCCGCCCCTTGCCATGCGGCGAGCCGACAGTATAGAGCCGGAACAGTAGCCGCTCCTCGCTGTACGACGATCTGACATCGATGGGCTGGAGCAGTCGTCGCTCCTCTTTGCGGCTAGATGTATGGAAATGGGTCATCTTGTGCAGCTGGGGTCCCCGGCTGTACCGCAGGCCACCATCACACCACCTGAGCCGCTGCCACAGACATCTTTGAAACCAACCCAGAGCCCAGCAGAATGAGTACGACGGCTGGGCCCGATCAAAGAGTTCGCTGCCACTGGAAGCGACTGGGCGGCCTTCGTCAAGTGCTTCAAAGCGACCATCACTGTCAGCGGCTGGAATGAAGAAATATGCCCTCCGAGCAATGCCGACGGTGCATGATGATGGGGTGCTGATGGCCTTCTGTACCATCGCAGAGGCTCATCGCGCCACATTACAACAGGCCTATGAAGAGATGGCGGAAATCTTCTGCCTGCCATCCAGTGCCATGGCAACAGTTCTCGAGCTTGCAGCGTGAACAGAATGAGCCACTGATGGCCTTCCATTGCACCCTTTGGGTGCTCGCTGAAGTAGCATTTCTCAGGATGGACGAGGCGGCCAGACGCGCTGATGGTGGAGAAGATAGAGGCCTCATCCAAAAGAGTGGAATCGTACTGCCCGTTGTACCGGAGAGCGACCGGACTTAGTTGTGGTTTACGAGATACCTCCTGGTACATGAAGAGGCAGGAGCGCCGACCCTGATGGTGGCGGTACCATGTTTATGAGGGACTGATTATTATCTGAGTCGGTTGTCCATTACAATCTTAATGGACCAGGATTGTATTGGGACACCGTTAGGAGAGCGAATGCGTTTTTTGTGCCCAGACATAGAAACCAGCAAAATCGTTAGGGTAGTCAATGGAAAAGGGGTGGCGACAGACTGTGAAAAAACTTGCCCTGTGGAAAATTGGCCTACACCAACTTCAGTCGAGAAAGTACGGTGGTTTCTGGGGTTTGTGTCTGATTACCGCCGATTTGTACCCCAATTTGCTACCATAGCGAAATATATGGATGGCTTCATGAACAAATCTTTGTTGATGGCAAGTGGGTTTGCAAAGTACCTTCGTCTTAGAGAAATCAATATCATGTGAGCCCACCGCATTACAACAATGATCAGCCACGGCCGAGGTATTGGTCCTACCGTGTTTCAGATCTGCTTTATGTTCACGAACACGGTCCGAGACATGTCGCTTAGTTTCCCCAATGTAACTACTGCCGCAGACACAGCTTAGTTTGTAGACACCGGGGTATTGCATGTCAGGGATCACATCCTTCACAGATGGGATCAAATCACGAATTTTATGTACTGTGTTCAATAGAACCTGGATCTTGTGTTTGCTCATGATTTTGGAAATCTTTTTGGTGACCCCTGCTATGTATGGCAAGGTGATGGTTTTGATTGGTCCTCAGATGGTTCTTTCACAACAGTTGGGGTGATAGCTTTAATTGGTCGAAAACCCACTACCGTCGCGGTCGCTGCCCACCACTTACATTAACATTAGCTGCCCCACCCATGCTGCTGACATTTGGGCTACGCCCATTTCAAACCTTTAAAAACAGTTAGCCTTTAGAAGCTAGTCTCAAATAGTGTTAGACAATAGAACGCCAAAAGGAGAACAGCACAAACACAAAGTACTATCAGGGCATTTATTGCCCTTGGTGAGCAGCTACATCATGGGACCTTTCTTGCCGGTATCAAAATATTAAATTGTTTTTACCCTTTCTGGCAATTAAACAGGTGTTAAGATGTTAAAACACCAATCAGAAATCTTCTTGGTTCTTTCGGTAAAGTCACGTAGAAGGGAAGTAATAAAATAATAAAAATAAAACATAATAAAACAATTCTCACGACGTTTCGGCCACAACGCAAGCAGCCGTCCTCAGGTGAAAACCAGGTCCGTCGAGGCGACAGAGTCTGAATGAAACAGCACACGAGCTTGGAGCATATATATAAGCTGGGCGCATTGACAAAGGAATTTGCATATCAAAAGAAATTTAGCATATTTATGGGAAATGCAGGATAAATATGCTAAATTCCTTTTGATATGCAAATTCCTTTGTCAATGCGCCCAGCTTATATATATGCTCCAAGCTCGTGTGCTGTTTCATTCAGACTCTGTCGCCTCGACGGACCTGGTTTTCACCTGAGGACGGCTGCTTGCGTTGTGGCCGAAACGTCGTGAGAATTGTTTTATTATGTTTTATTTTTATTATTTTATTACTTCCCTTCTACGTGACTTTACCGAAAGAACCAAGAAGATGAATCCCTGCAGTCACGAAAGCTTTAAATCGAAAAACCAAACAGAAACCTTTTGAAAAAGGTCCCATGATAAAATAGCGAAGATAAAGTGAGGTGACAAGAACGATGTACAGACAAGATAGAGATAAGGGAGGTTCATTGGCAATTGTGTGTATTACCTTGTCATGGATTTTAATTTGAACTGATATTCAATAAACCCTTATTTTCTCACGAATCTAATGACCCCCACTTTGGGGGGGATCCCTTATCTCGTGGCGTCAGCGGCGGCTTGACGCCACGGTGAGGATATAAACAGAAAACAAATGATTTAAAGCTTTCGTGACTGCAGGAATTCATCTTTTTGGTTCTTTCGGTAAAGTCACGTAGAATGGAAATAATAAAATAATAAAAATAAAATATTAAATTTCGATTTAAAGCTTTCGTGACTGCAGGGATTCATCTTCTTGGCTCTTTCGGTAAAGTCACGTAGAATGGAAATAATAAAATAAGAAAAATTAAACATAATGTAATAAAAAGAAAAATGTTTTTATTTTTGTTATTTTATTATTTCCATTCTACGTGACTTTACCGAAAGAACCAAGAAGGAGAAAAAAATGCTTTTTGCCAATGCGCTGGTGGTGATGTCATTCTCGCGTGTGTTCTCTCGCAGGCAAAAAATTGAGAAGTGCTGTGACCCGCTGAAAAGCTTCGCTCTCACGCAGAAGAATTCTCCGGTGGGAAAGAAGATATGGTTTGACGGAGAGCTGTTCCATTGGATCACTGTGGACAACGACACCTTTGGTCTATTCCCACCTGTGAGGACCCCTTATCGACCATAAACCATTCACGGATGTTAGTCTCGTGTGTGTGTGTGCTTCATGGGGGATTCCGCTGTATGCATGTTGAACATCTTTCGCACCGTTACTGTAGCCATCCGTGCTCATCGCAGGATAGCACGGTTGGCTGCTGTGGTGTAAACACTGCGCAGACTGGACTCGCAATCCAGAGGCCCCAGGTTTGATTCGATCTCCCGGCGTGGCAGTTGAAACAATGGTTTCAAGTGTATTGAATCCACCCTGCCTTTGTCCTTCCAGCCGTATCAGTGAGTATAGCACAGTTAGTCAATTAGTATGTCACGTGCAGTGGGGTAAAGTGTAAATGCTTCCACCTCCAAGAACTTTTGTCACTTGTTACCTCTTATCACCTTTCCTGGATTTTAGTCTTGTGTGTATGCTGCATAGGGATGCTGCTGCTGCTTCGTAACGGTGAGCACACTTCACTTGGAAGCCAAAGGTGGCTGGTTTGACTTTATCTCTTGGTGCGGTAGTTTAAACAATGGTTGCAAGTTTCTTAAACCCACCCCGGCTTTTTCCATCCAGCCATATGAATGGGTACCTCTTCCAAGACGCCTTTCCAGTGTGGAAGAGTAGGCCAAATACCTACCAGAGGGGCTTTCTAGAGCGCCGTCTAGTGGGGGCCCTTCCACCAGCAGTCGTGTTGGCTTGAAATTGCAGGGCTGCACTTTTACCTATACGCTTCAAATGATTCAGAAACGAGGTCATTAACAAAAAATACTGCAAAAAAACTCAAAAGTTTGCAAGGAAGCGTGCAGTGATGCACGCTTGGAATTGAGGAACACAAGGAGTAAGTCAGTGCCCTACCTTATTACAGACCAATTCAGACCGTATTGGTCACCCCGTGCCATTATACATCTCAATGGTGAATGAATGGCATTTTGGGCCATGTGTGTATGATACATTAAACTTTAAATATGTATACATTTTTGCACTGCCAATTATCTCATTTGAAAGCAACACCTGCTTCATTACATTTAATTTGTTATGCAATGATACTTGACCATGATAAGACATTTTGTGACCTTCATTTGCAAAGTTTAAAATCTTCAATCGTTGCATATTTGACGTAACGATCACGCACACGCAATTCGACGCGCCTGATTTCTGCACGCAAATAACAGTTTTTGTTTCTAGATTTGAAGTTTTAGTGACTGCAAGGATCCATATTCTTTGGGTTTTTCGGTAAAGTCACGTAGGTAAAAAATATAAAATACATTTTAAATGAAAACAAATAAATAACCCATTGTGCAACTAGGCTGTATATTTTTTACCTACGTGACTTTACCGAAAAAACAAAGAGAACAGTTCTTGTATCAACGAATCTGCATAGTTGCTCTCTCATTATTATTTTGGATAGGCATTGCTCATAACTTTGAGAGAAAAACCCCCCACCAATTACCATGTAGTTGTTATGCGGCAGACAGCCAAACTGTTTTCGGCGTAGACGCATTAAAATGCAGATCAATCACGCCACAGTGTTTATGTGAGAAAGTATAAATAATGCAGCGGTCTCCATGGCGCTCAGTCTGCACGCCATTTCACATGCAAAGTAGCCATTGAGTCTTGCAGCTCAGGGATACTTATATTTACTCAGGCCATCGAAATAAGCTCCACTGACCCTCTTGATAATGCTGGTGGGAGAGCACGCAGCAGAAATGCCTTTGCGTAGCCGACCGTATCTTAAAACACAACACAGCAAGCACGAGGAAAAGCATAGGCACAATTTGGATAACATGGTGGACTTATGTCAAAGTAATATTTGTATCGATTGAAAAAAGTCTACCACTTAAACAACACTAAGCCTTTGCATTTTCTCATGGCTGATGTGTTTTTTTGTTTGTTAACACTGATAAAAAGCAGACTGATGGAGAAACTAAACAAACCAGTGTGTAGCAAAGCACACGTAAAGCCCTCCGAACTTGATGTAGCTAAAGGGGTAATGAATTAAATGCTCAGTCCCTGTTGTACACATTTTTTGGAGATCCAGGTGCGTTGGCAGTGGTGCACAAGCACAAATAACAAAAAAAACTGAACACGGTGCCTTCAAAAGGAAATATATGTGAATAGGCGAAGTTTCGGGGCAATGGCCCTCCTTTATAGCACAAATATGAGTCCCCATTATCAAGATTCTTGCAGTCAAGTGACAAGAATGTTGGTACAATATTTTAACACGGGTGGCAATTTATCGACGGGCATCATGATTTTTCGTCATGTACACAGGGTGAGAACCGGAGCAAAATTCACGATTTAACACAAGCAGATTGCACCGTGACTCATTCCATTTACCGTTAAACATCTTTAAAGTTTGTTGAGCAATGACTCTCCCGTCCCCCCCTGCATTTCCATTTAGGTTTTTGGATTTCCAACATTTAGAATGATTACAAAGTGGTGAATGTACCCCGACTGATATTTTATAAACGCCCTGAGCATTTGAAAATAACTCGACGGACGGAAGCGTTTCATGTGCCATGTTTTAGGACAACGTTGAGAATATATTGGGATAGGCCTAAAACTATAAACAAAGAATCGTAGAAAAAAGACGTTAACAATTGGTGTAACACAATCCCAGTGTAGACATATACATCCGTTTGACCGTGTTGCCAAAACACACGGATACTGTACACCGTGACCCAATAATTCCATCCAGGCAAAGAGTGGATCTTGAGACGTTTCCATCGTGGCACCGTACCGGTCGTGTGTCCAATCTGTCGTGACGTTGGCCTTACCTGACAGGAGGCCTCCTTCTACAATGTCGTTGGAATGGGGACATTGGTTGGAGCCACGGGGCCTTCGTCGCCTACGCGTTTCTGATGATGACGATGATGATGATAATGAAGCATTATTTAATGATCTCATTGCTCACTGCGTAAAGCTACTCATCGCAAACAGTTTTGCTCATTTCACATTATAAGGGAAGGTGCATTCTTAGGGCAGTGCATAATAATACATATATTTTAAATGTATTTTTATACAAAAAAAATAGGTGAGGCTCTATCCCCGATGTATTTACGGGGACTCCTCTACTTACGAACGAGTTAGGTTCCAGAGGTCTGTTCGTAAGCCGATTTATTCGTCCGACTTTACTCCTGTCTGAAATTAAAATTAATAAAAATAAAATAATAAAAAATCACGACGTTTCGGAGGCAACACAAGTCTCCGTCATCAGGTGGGACCGTCACAGCCAGATTTGCTGTATCAAGTGAGGCCTCACATGATACAGCAAATCTGGCTTTGACTTAATTTAAATTTCATTTTTTACCTACGTGACTTTACCGAAAAAATACTAAGAGTATGAATCCTTGCAGTCACGAAAGCTTAAAATGTAGAAATTACTCCTGTCGATTCCAAACATGGTATGCGGCATGTACACCAAACACTGGGAATGGCTTTAAAATTTGTATAATTTCCTGTCGATGCAATTGGTTCTTCATGTTCTGCAGATGTAGATGCCATTGGTTCTTCATGTTCTGCAGATGTAGATGCCACTGGTTCTTCACGTTCTGCAGATGTAGATGCCACTATGTTCTTCACGTTCTGCAGATGTAGATGCCACTGGTTCTTCACGTTCTGCAGATGTAGATGCCACTGGTTCTTCACGTTCTGCAGATGTAGATGCCACTGGTTATTCACGTTCTGCAGATGTAGATACCACTGGTTCTTCATGTTCTGCAGATATAGATGCCACTGGTTCTTCATGTTCTGCAGGTGTAGATGCCACTGGTTATTCACGTTCTGCAGATGTAGATGCCACTGGTTCTTCATGTTCTGCAGTTGTAGATGCCACTGGTTCGTCATGTTCTGCAGATGTAGATGCCACTGGTTATTCACGTTCTGCAGATGTAGATGCCACTGGTTCTTCATATTCTGCAGATGTAGATGCCACTGGTTTTAGAGGTCATGCCGATGTAGAAAAAAACGTACCAAGAGATGTCTGCACAGTTGCTCTCTTCTTCTGTTCATAAATCAACTTGTAACAGGCAACAGCATTATGTTCATGAAAAGCACAAAGAGAGCGTCGTAGTGAACCGCACAGCGACAGACATTGGCAGCGACCCAGGCAGAAATGCTGGGAATGCTGGGTAGTAACACCGAACGACCACCGCCATCTATTGTGCAGCGGTTGAACTTACGACTCTCGATCCGAACAGGCAACTGGACATACGGACAGGTTTGTTCGTATCGCTGAAAGTTCATAAGTAGAGGCGTCCCTATTATTTTATTATCTCCCTTCTACGTGACTTTACCGAAAGAACCAAGAAGATGAATCCCTGCAGTCACGAAAGCTTTAAATCGAAATTTAGAGTCCCTGTACGTTGAAATTGTTTTGCGCCGTACGTAGCCAATTGTGCGAATTTCAGATGCCACTACAGACCAGCATGGCAAAGTATGATCACGAAACACCCGCACGGTGTAGGGAGGCACTCATCCAGCAGTGGATCGATAAAAGGGCTGCACGTGTACTCTCTCAAGCAGTAAATGTGTGCCGTTCACAAGAGGGAGCTCTATCGTTCCCCTCTGTTCATGTATGTGGCCTACTCTTCCACACACGTTGGAAGGGGTGGGAGTGCCCTACCGAACGTGACCTGCCGGTCGACTGACTATAGTGTGACCATTGGATGTCTGTGAAAAAGAGCTTCATAGCTTATCGGATTTCTCCAGGACAAATAAAGATTCTGATTCTGACCATTGATACTGCTGGGTGGGACAGAGAGGGGTGGGGGGGGGGGGGGTTTAGAAACTTGAAACATTGTGTCAATCGTCGCCGAATCGAACCGATGACCTCTGGGATTTGCAAGTCCAGTGTGATGACCGTCACACCCCTGTGGTAGCATTCCTTAAGTTATATAACCTGCTGATAATGCCCACGCGTGCGGGTGTGTGTGTGTGCATTTTCAATGTAGCGGTTATTGCGCTGCGCTATGGACCCTGTGACCCGAGTTCGATTCCCGCTCACAGCCAACACCAGTGACGATTATCTGAACCGGTCCTGGGCCTCCCCTAGGTCGACTCAGCTTCAAATAAGTACCTCGTGAAATATGCAAATATTGCCACCAGGGAGACAAAGTCGGCCGGGTGTGGCTGCTGGCCATCCACCCCCCTCGTGTGCCGTGCCGGCCTTGATAGGTGCTCGCTAACAGCACTTGCCCCAACAGTCTATTAAGGCTACACGGAGGATCTTTGTCTTTGTTTGTTTGTATTTGCAGCACCAGCCGCTGGGTCAGAAGCTTCTGAAGAGATGCGCCATCGTCGGGAACAGTGCCATCATGTTGGACCACGGCTGTGGAAAAGACATCGACAAGGCTGACGTCATATTCCGGTAAGATCCAACGTTCCCAGAAAAGCAATTTTCCTATGAGGCCCAGTGGATAACCCGTGAATGATTATGGCATACTTGTTCACGGTTGGGTTGCTCATTGTCACTTTGTCATTCATTTATTGCTACGAAAGGACCATTGTTAACCCAGATAAAAACCCGGTGGAGTGCTGGCACCGAATCTGGGAACCCGAGTTTGATTCCCAGCCTTGGGTAGGATCAGTGGTGTTTCCAAGGCCCCTCCTGCACAAACCTGCACCGACCAGCGTGGTGAAGTATGGTCAAACAACCCCCATGACTGAGAGGTGTGTGGATGCCTTTATCCAGCAGTGCATTAATCAAGGGCTGTGCATAACATTTATTTTAACCAGTTCAATGTCGTTGCTCTGTCTCATTCTTTGCAATTTGGGAAATTAGAGGGTTCGTGATGCGTTGTGGTGGAGCATTGTGAGCAATGAAACACACGGACCTTAGTTCACTATATAAATTAAATAGATTGGATATTGAAGAGTAGCACAATTTGACACTGAGTGACTTATTTAGCAATAATACTATTTTATTGTTTTGACTGCACTCGAAGCAGCTCGTTAAGTACTCTGCGCTGTTTTTGTGTATTTAGGGGTGCTTACACGGCCTGGATTTAATTCTGCAACACTAACGGAATTTTATCAAATATATTCAGGCTGCGGTCGGTACAGTCGACAACACTCCCCTTCCATCTATTCACGCATTTAATTAAGTTGCGGCAATATAAGATTCAGCTCACGTACACACTTTAGTACAAGTCAACATGGAGAGTATGCTTATTTGATCATTGCTTCACATGTGTGTTTGTAAAGTAAAGATAAAGGTGCAGATCCTGCAAATGACCTGCTCACGCCACTGCTGGCAGAAGGGCCTCCACAAGAGTTAGTTCTGGAAGGCCCTCTCCAGAAGGGTTTTTTGACCGACTTATCCACGCTGGCCAGACGTGTTGGATGAGGTACCCACACTTTACCCCACCACACGTAACCTGCGGCTGTTTCTAATGCTGTGGGAGAACAGAGGTGAGGGAGGTTTACACGATGCGTGAATTGTTTCGACTGCCGCGCCCGGAGACCGAACCGGTGACCTTGAGACTTCAATTCCAGTCTGACAACCACTGCACCAGGCTTCATGCTCTATGCATTTGATATTCTCTAACAAACAAAAAATTTCCCTTTAATTTTTTCCGGCACGGTAAGTCCTCGTTTTTAACGCGCGTGCACACTGCGATGCGTGTCCACGCTTCGACACGGTTCTTAACTCGTCGGGAACATGTGCACCGTTACGACGCGGTTTCTAAAGCAGTCGGCGATGAACTTACATTCTTCGTTCCTTCTTGAGCTGCACGGCCTGAGTGGCATCTTGCAGCACCCCCCCCCCCCCGCCACCTTTTACGGCATTTCTGATGGGGAATTTTTGTTTCCGCGAAACGCGGCACCTTTTAGGAGCGCACCTACAGCGTCAAATGAGGAATTGCTTGATTGTATTTGAATCCATAATTGACGCTATGCCTTTACCGAACGTCACCACAGATTTTCTGCAACATTGAACTTGGGCTTCTCATGAACCATTCATAAAGCAACGTTCGTAAAAAATGCAAACATTCTTTAAACGCCGCTATATACACTCGGGCAATGAACGTGCATGCGAAATTTGTAAATACTTCATGTATGTCGGGTGTACAGATATGCATCATTGAGTTTGAACGCTGCCTGATATTAATTTCCGTGTGTCATTTGTTTTTGTTCTTTAAGGTGCAACCTGCCCCCAATTACAAAGCAGTATGAGCCAGACATTGGCACAAAGACACACCTGGTTACAGCCAACCCCAGCATCATACAAATAAGGTGAGTTATATATCGCCTCTTCTTATCACTTGCACACTTGCCCTTTGGGACAATAACTCTCAAACCTCCTGGTTTCGAAACAGCATTTTAAGTGAATGCATGAACTCAAACACGCATATATACACGATTGTACATATACACTTGCAAACGTCCAAAGTTACATATGAGCACTTACAAAACAGAAAAACAAAGGTCTCCCCCCCCCCCCCATGTAGCCTTTTTTTCCTCCTCGAAAAGTATTTTTTTTTATTAACAAACGATTTCAGGTACACAACACAAGATGATATGAAAGGGGGTTGACACCAGCACGAACAACACATTACGGATTGCAGTGCAATGGACACCTGCAGGAACCGCACGTATCAATACACTGCTTCAATAAACTCTATGAACCTCTGGCATCTTCATAAGCTCTGATACCGCTGTAGGAGAAGGGAAACAGGGGAGAAGGGAGGGAAAGGGGGGGCCTAAATGCCCCAATGAACGCTCTTAAGACTCAATGCACACTGCAGGTGAGGTCGTCAAGGGGTTCCATGTTTGGTGGTAAGCTTCCTCCCTGCCCCTAAAGTTTTGCATTTAGACGTTCTAGAGCGGCCATTTTTGACAATGTATTGACCCATTCCTGCAGTTTGGGGGGAGCATGCTCTTCCTAAGTTGGCTATAATGGTGCGTTTTGCCGTAACATTTAACATTTGGAATAATGTATTTGCCTCCCTGGAAAGGCGTTGAGGTTTCAACCCCAACAGTGACGTTTCTGGTGAGGGTGAGATGGTTTTTTTTGTGAATGTGGTTAAAGTAGCAAAGTGATCATTTGAACTCGTTAATGTGTGGACATTTCCAAAAAATGCCTTTATATTTGAGGGGTGCCGGGGGGCATCGTGGCCAGTTGGGGTAGGTTTTGTCGAAAAAATAAAATAAAAAATAAATTAATTAAATCACGACGTTTCGATTGCAACACAAGCAATCATCATCAGGTGTGACAACCACAGCAAGAGCAATTTTACTGAAGTAGGAGAGATGCCAAGGTTAGGTCAGTTAAATAAATCAGAGAGGGGGAGGGTGGGGGGAAAGGGAGGGGGCAAATGGGGAGAGGAGGGCGAGCGCTGCAGGGACGCTGAGAGCAAAGGAGCAACATGATCGCTGCCAAGATAGATGATGGCGCACAAAGAAAAATAACCGCACTGCTACACGCTGAGGATGCAATTAACTCGGTAAAATAGACGAGTACCCGGTAAATAAGATGGAACTATGAACAGTAAACTATTACTTGGTTAATAACATCTTTCCAATGATTGCTCAATTTGTATCCATCATCTCGGTTGAAGTTATGTCTATGTTTATATATCTGGATGGCTTCATGAACAAATCTTTGATGGTATCCAGACGGCTTGCAGAGCACCTTGGTCTCGGAGAAAACAATATCATGAGAGCCCATAGCGTTATAGCAGTAAATTTACCGAAAGAACCAACGAATATGGATCCTTGCAGTCACGGAAACTTCAAATCTAGAATGTTTTGTCAAATTTGCCTCTTTAGTTAGTTAAGTAATAGCCATGGAGAGATGTAAATTGTGTTTCTCTGAGACGGGCCGAGTGAAGATGTTGTCGCATACTAGCCCAGGTGTTGTCTCTTTCGGCACTTGCTACTGGGGCACCGTTAAGGGAAGACCAGATTGTTGTCGGTTTTCGGTCATGCTACGGAGGCTTGTTTTGGTAGCAGAGTCCATGAGCCACTCCGTTGTTTGGGGGGCAGTAAGGTTTATGGATAGTTTCTTATCTCCGCAAGGCCGCTATGAGTTGGGCATACCTAATAAATTGGGAAGCGAGTAAGTGGTGTTCTGTCCATGAGTAATGTTTCCTTGTGAGTCTACTATATCTCGAATTAGCCTTGTGTTTTTATTTTGCCATTCCTGCCATATTACGGGCTTTCTTATTTATTTTGAAGAGATGGGTTTCCCCATATAGGGGAATACAGAGGAGCTAGGCCTCTTGGGTATTCTCATTTCGATTGAAAGCTTTCGTGACTGCAGCATGGATTCATCTTCTTGGTTTTTTCGGTAAAGTCACGTAGAAGGGAAGTAATAAAATAATAAAAATAAAACATAATAAAATAATTCTCACGACGTTTCGGCCACAACGCAAGCAGCCGTCCTCAGGTGAAGAATGAAAGCTTGGTGGTGTTTCATTCTTCACCTGAGGACGGCTGCTTGCGTTGTGGCCGAAACGTCGTGAGAATTATTTTATTATGTTTTATTTTTATCATTTTATTACTTCCCTTCTACGTGACTTTACCGAAAGAACCAAGAAGAGGGGCTATTCTAATTGTTTCTGGAGACGGCTCCAGTTTCGCAATGCAATCTGCAGGGATCATAATTGTGTTGAAGGAGGGGTGCAGCCGCTTGGGTTTCGCGTGTATTATCCCCCTCCATCTGAGCCGGTTTAGCTTGTTCAATAGCCCAGGAAGACCACGCCATTGATCTGTCGTGGTGCAAACACCCATATCATCGATGAAATTTAGTAGCGCGATGCTAGCGACTATAGGAGGGAGTGACCTCCCGTAGTCTCTTTGGAGCAGTTCAAGTCTGCAGGTCTCCCCATGTCGCCTTTTAACCAGACTTTCGGGGCAAGTGCTGTTCGCGAGCAAATATGGCGGCCGACACGGCACAAGAAGGGGGCGTTTGGCCAGTACCCCGTCCTTTGTCTCCCCAATCCTGATGTTTACACACCATACTCATTTAAGGCTGAGTCGACCTAAGTGAGGCTTACATATTTTCCACGTACATTCGCACGTGAGCACGTGCACATTTGCACGTGAATAACTTGGCTGCACACACGAACACACAGATTCTCTGACACACACAAATACATAGGAATTAGAGAGGCACAGCGAGAGAGAGAGAGACATGAGTGACAGAAACAAGACCGTTGACACGACCAAATCGAGAAATGGGAGTCTAGACCAGGGCTCGGGAACTAAAATAACAAGAAGAGCCATATTTTTCGAATTCGGTAAAAAAAAAAGCCCTCAATATTTTAAGAGCCTCATTGCGTGTGAATGCGAGACGGTGGGGTCCTTAATAAATAACTGCCACGAAGCAAGTCCTTAAAGAGCCACCGCACGCGGCAGGCTGCCGACCCCCTGACCTCGACGCAAGGGGAGACGTGGGGAGAAAGAGGCACGGAGAGAGAATACACGGGGAGAGAGAAACGCTGGGAGAGGACTCGCACACATTGGGGAGAGAGTCATGGGTAAAGAGGGAGACTTAAGATAAGATGAGAGGCTTGCGATAAGATGAGAGGCTTGAGATAAGATGAGAGGCGTGAGATAAGATTAGACATTTGAGATAAGAGAGAAACAACGGTTTAGTGGCAATGGGGGATGCAAAGAGACCGACACAGGAGAGAGGAGTGAAGCACTAAGAGCGAGACGCACGGCGATAGAGAGACACACGGGGATGGATGGACGCACACACTCACACACACAGCGACTCGGAGGCAGACCTCCTGATAACCCCGTTTGACTTTCGTGCCCCCCCCCCGATCTCCCTGCCCACTTCCCACCCACCCCCCGTTGCCACGTTGAGTGAGCAAACGCCACTTTACGCCTCGCTCTCGGCGATAGAAGCTGAACAATGACCCCTTCACCTAAAACGAACGGCGTGTGACGCTACCGCTGAAATGTGAACAACGCCTCTCTCGAATTCGAGGGCAAATAATTGCCGATGACGTCAGGAGGCGGAGGGGTGGGAGGTCACTTGCGTTTAGCCGTTGAAAATGTCGTCCCTCGTTGGCACCGTTGTGTGCACCAAGAACGGTGTATTTTACCCTTTTATCTGGCAACAAAACTGACACCTTTTTTACGAGAGTCATGTTTGCATAGACCACAATACCTGCAGTCATAATGCAAACAAAAACATAACTCTGATAATGTATGCACTGCACATTATCATAGTTATGTTTTTTGTTTGCATTATGACTGCAGGTATTGTGGTCTATGCAAACGTGACTCCTCGTAAAAAAGGTGTCAGTTTTGTTGCCAGATAAAAGGGTAAAAAAACAATTATCATATTTTTTACTGGAAAATGAGGTACCAATGGTGAAGAACAGTGTACTTTTGATTTAAAGCTTTCGTGACTGCAGGGATTAATATTGTTGGTTCTTTCGGTAAAGTCACGTAGAAGGGAAACAATAACATAATAAAAATGTAAAACAATACAATTCTCACGACGTTTCGACTGCAACACAAGCAATCATCAACGGTGTCCTTATAACTCTGATTGTCTCGCACTGAAGCATCTCACTGGGATTTGTAAATCTTTGTAGATTTAGATCAAGCTGTTGTTGTTGTTGGCACGTGTCTGTATGTGTAATTAATGGCCTTCATTTAAACTGGAAGTTACCCATCCCATTATCTCTTTTAAACGGGATATTGTGGGATTTTAGCTCTTCGGCGAACCGGGGTTTTCTTGGGCACGGTTTGATGGCAATCTTTCTAATTTGGGTTTTTGGGGATGTGACATTAGACCACAATGGCCTTCTCTCGTGAGTGATGTTGCAAGTGGTTTTACTTTGTTGAATGCACTTTACAGCAGATGGCTGGCCGTGGAAATTTCCCCACAGAAAATGCCATGGGGCAGCTGTGGGAATTGAACTATTGACTATGCAAATGACCACTTTCGCTCACGAGACATTAATTCTATTCTGTGAACATTCGTTCTTAGCTTTAAAGCTTTCGTGACTGCAGCAGGGATTCATCTTCTTGGTTCTTTCGGTAAAGTCACGTAGAAGGGAAATAATAAAATTAAAAAAATTAAACATAATAAAATAATTTATTATTATTATTTTATTTGAATAATATTTTATTATGTTTTATTTTTATTATTTTATTATTTCCCTTCTACGTGCCTTTACCGAACGAACCAAGGAGATTGGTTCCCATCTTTACATTTGCCTCTGACTGTTACACCCAGAATGTGCCCAATTTCATCAGAACTCAGAAGCTAAGCCAGAGATTGAGCCGGGATAGTTCTCGGAGGGGCGATCGTCACGTACAGAACAGGTGTTATAGGCTGCGGCAGCAACGTGTTTGTCAGCAGAGCGCAGTGCAGCAAAATCTTTGGGTTTAATCTTCTATGCTGCTGACATTTATGCTCCTTTCTTTCACCATCTTGCACGCACCAGCATGAGTACTTGATGTGGTGTTTCGATTTAAAGCTTTCGTGACTGCAGGGATTCATCTTCTTGGTTCTTTCGGTAAAGTCACATAGAAGGGAAATAAACACTCAGAACAGATCTGTCGGAAAGACAGTGTCTGAATGAACACTCAGAACTCTCAGTGTTCATTCAGACCCTGTCTTTCCGACAGACCTGTTCTTCACCTGAGGACAGCTGCTTGCGTTGTGGCCGAAACGTCGTGAGAATTATTTTATTATGTTTTATTTTTATTATTTTATTACTTCCCTTCTACGTGACTTTACCGATAGAACCAAGAAGATATAACCAACTACTCCCTGACATCCCACGTGGTGTGGGGAAGCCCTCGTCATCCAGCAGTGGACTGACAAAAGGGTTGTACACACACACGTCATTAAATTACAGATTCGTGTGAGTCCATCACTGCCCCCCACGCTTTCCCCGCCTGCCATTGCATGGACAAGGCTGAGTGCCTATCGCAGAGGTTCATGATTGGGGTGCAGAAGCCCTGCGTTTATCTTATCTTCCATGGATTTATTTCGCACCCTACTCCAAGGCGCTTTACAGGAATTATAACAATTGTAAATAACATGATAGTGGTTGAGATGAAGTGGGGTTCATTAAGAGTGGCGGTGTAGTTATGGGGACAGGAGGACAGGCAGGAGTGGTTGTGGAGGGGTTGGGGTAGGCCTGATCGTAGCTGGGTGGTGGTGGCAGGCAGTAGCAGGGGTAGTGGTAGGGGTCGGGGTAGTGGTAGGGGTCAGGTAGGGGTCAGGGTAGTGGTAGGGGTCGGGGTAGTGGTAGGGGTCAGGTAGGGGTCGGGGTAGTGGTAGGGGTCGGGTAGGGGTCAGGGTAGTGGTAGGGGTCGGGGTAGTGGTAGGGGTCAGGTAGGGGTCAGGGTAGTGGTAGGGGTCGGGGTAGTGGTAGGGGTCAGGTAGGGGTCGGGGTAGTGGTAGGGGTCGGGGTAGTGGTAGGGGTCAGGTAGGGGTCGGGGTAGTGGTAGGGGTCGGGGTAGTGGTAGGGGTCAGGTAGGGGTCGGGGTAGTGGTAGGGGTCAGGTAGGGGTCGGGGTAGTGGTAGGGGTCGGGGTAGTGGTAGGGGTCAGGTAGGGGTCGGGGTAGTGGTAGGGGTCAGGTAGGGGTCGGGTAGTGGTAGGGTCAGGTAGGGGTCGGGGTAGTGGTAGGGGTCAGGTAGGGGTCGGGGTAGTGGTAGGGGTCAGGTAGGGGTCGGGGTAGTGGTAGGGGTCAGGTAGGGGTCGGGGTAGTGGTAGGGGTCAGGTAGGGGTCGGGGTAGTGGTAGGGGTCAGGTAGGGGTCGGGGTAGTGGTAGGGGTCAGGTAGGGGTCGGGGTAGTGGTAGGGGTCAGGTAGGGGTCGGGTAGTGGTAGGGGTCAGGTAGGGGTAGGTAGGGTCGGGGTAGTGGTAGGGTAGGTGGGGTCGGGGTGGTAGGGGTAGGGGTAGTCAGGTAGGGGTCGGGGTAGTGGTAGGGGTCAGGTAGGGGTCGGGGTAGTGGTAGGGGTCGGGGTAGTGGTAGGGGTCAGGTAGGGGTCGGGGTAGTGGTAGGGGTCGGGGTAGTGGTAGGGGTCAGGTAGGGGTCGGGGTAGTGGTAGGGGTCAGGTAGGGGTCGGGGTAGTGGTAGGGGTCAGGTAGGGGTCAGGTAGGGGTCAGGTAGGGGTCGGGGTAGTGGTAGGGGAAAAGCACATTGCAACTTCGCTCCCACGACCCGCAGGCTAATTGTAGATTTGAAGCTTTCGTGACTGCAAGGATTCATACTCTTAGTTTTTTCGGTAAAGTCACAAAAATGACATTAAAATTTATAAAAAAATAATAATAATATTGACCCACTCTCAGGCCTGTTCTGCATTCAGAATCAGAATACAAATATTTATTTATACTGAAATAATTTGATAAGCTCTAAAGCTATTTTTGACTGATGTCTGGTAACTTGTTGTGTGCCACACAGCAACAGCTGCCACGGGGTGGTCCACTGCATTAGGGCGCCTCAGGACGTATAGTATGGGAAGTGTGATATATAAATAGTAAGTGATGAGGAAAACGATAATGAAAAAAATTATGACGACGATGATGATGACGATGATGACGACCTCCGTGATTATGATGACGACAATGACAAAGACGACGACGGTGATAATGACGATGATGACTACGATGATGACGACAATGATGATGATGATGATGACGGTGATGATGATGATGACGTTGACGACGACAGGAATGACGATGATGACAATGATGAAGATAACGACGGTGATGATGATGACGACGACGTTGACGACGACAGTAAGGATGATGATGACGACAATAATGATGATAACGATGGTGATGATGATCATGACGACAGTGACGATGATGACGACGATGATGACGACGACGATAATGACGATGATGATGACGATGATGGCGTCGATGATGACGAACATGACGATGATGACGACGGTGATGACGACAATGACGATGACGACGACGACGATGATGACGACAATGACGATGATGACGACGGTGATGACGACAATGACGATGATGACGACGACAATGACGACCGACCTAATCGTTTCCAGGTACCAAAACCTGCTGTGGTCGAGGAGGGCCTTCTCGGAGAGCATGCGCGCCTACGGCCACAGCTTCGTGTACATGCCGGCCTTCTCCATGCGCGCCGCCACCGAGTCGTCGCTGCGGGTCTACCACACGCTGCACGACTGCCACCAGAACCAGACCACCGTGTTCGCCAACCCCAGCTTCCTGCACAGCGCGGGCACCTTCTGGACGGAGAACGGCGTGCGAGCGATGCGCCTCTCGACGGGCATGTTCCTGGTGAGCGCCGCCCTCGGCATGTGCGAGGACGTTCACCTCTACGGCTTCTGGCCCTTCAGCGAGGACCTGAGCGGCCGCGCCATCAGCCACCACTACTACGACGACGTGCCGCCCCTCTGGTACTACCACGCCATGCCCGAGGAGTTCGAGCAGCTGTGGATGCTCCACCAACGGGGCATCCTGCGCATGCACCTGGAGCAATGTGACCCGTCCGAGTAACCGTCGCTCTGTCGTCACGCGAGTTTTTTTTGGTTTTGTTTTTACGGGTGTCCGGACCCACGTTGTGAGGTTTCTGTCACGTTCAGGCGAGTCGTGCCTCTGTGTAGGTGTTGGCCGTTGTGCTTGATAGCTCTGCGATCTAAAGAGTTGTTTTGGGTTGCGCTTCGTTCGGGATTGCCACCTGTTCTGGTTTTCCCAAGGTGGCCCTCATATTGAGGTGGCTGTCCCAGTTTTTTTGTGTTAACTAAATATTTGCGGATGCAAAAAGAAAACGTTCCACAATAATAAACCAATTAACACAACGTGTATATATGTAGTACTTTACCCCTTGTAAGTATCGACAGATATTTTTTCTTCCCATGATATGTCCCCGTGTTTGATTTGTACCTCAGAGGTGACAACCCTCTACCACGTGTCACTCCCCGCGTTGTCCGTCCCCGAAGCAGCTCCCGGCACGTGGAGCAAAACGTTGTGACGCTGTGCCAAACAGCACAGAGTACAACCCGAAAAAAACATCGGAGAGATAAGAGCACAGCCGCCAATCACCTATGCAGCCGTACTGCTGGGTATTGCGAGGGCCTGGTTGACGTGCTGCCAGTTGTTTCCACCCCTTTTCGCCTGAATGTTGCAAAAAATGTGCCAATTTCTCCCGTTACCTCTACCATTGAGAAAATTCGCCGAGGGTCCATGGGTTTTTTGCGAATTCTTTCCTTCTAGATTTGAAGCTTTCGTGACTGCAATGATTCATATTCTTAGGTTTTTTCGGTAAAGTCACGTAGGTAAAAAAACATTAAAAAGTAAAATAAAATAAATAAAAATCACGACGTTTCGGAGGCAACAGGTGGTACCGTCACAGCCATGACAGCTGTATCAAGTAAATGAGAGATTGCAGAAGCCACCACTCCGTTTATATAATGGTTGGAGGAGGTATTTGCAACCATTATATAAACGGAGTGGTGGCTTCTGCAATCTCTCATTTACTTGATACAGCTGTCGTGGCTGTGACGGTACCACCTGAAGACGGAAGCTTGTGTTGCCTCCGAAACGTCGTGATTTTTATTTTTTTTATTTTATTTTACTTTTTAATGTTTTTTTTACCTACGTGACTTTACCGAAAAAACCTAAGAATGTGAATTCTTTCCTTGTCAAGGTGTGTGATTGGGGGCCCTTCCCCGTCGCGTGTGGGTTTTCGGGGATGTTTTATTTTCTCTCTCGGTGTTTACCCAATCAGGTTCTGATAAGTGCCATAGGCGTTCATGAACAGAGTGAATTTTCATTCGGGTGACTAAAAGTCCTCGCGTGCTATCGTGTGCGCTCGCCACTGAGCCCGTGCACTGCCGACGTCCGCGTTTTCCCCCGGTAATTTGTGCGGAAAATTATCTGTTTGCAACTGTCGGCTGCAAAACGGGTATGTACAACAACAACAGCAGCAATAAAAAAACCAACATAATTCACAAAAGTCACGTCGCTGTGAAGCGGTCGTCATTGCCCAAATAATATATACGCTCAAAGTATTTGCAGCTGAGTGTATAATTAAGAAAAACACATCTCCTTACGCGACCGCATTTTTCCACGGCTGCCATGCTTAGGGGCTAATATGTTTTCAAGGCCTCTAATCACCTGGTTATGTGAGATAAATGTTTTGTTGGTCACAATTAATAAGTTACCGCGGTGGCCGCACACAGGTCACCACCGCAGGTGATAGATTGTGGAATATTTCTCCACGGGGGCTGTGTGTGACTCTGCTGTCCGCACTGGTTGTGTTCCTTTGAGTTGTTCAAAAGCAAAAAAAAAAGATAAATGCTCAGAATCTTTCCGCATAATAAGCTCTTATCAGAGCAGGGGCCCCCCTGCAAATATTAACTGTAGTGGAGTTATTCAAATAACCTCGTTTGTCGTTTCTGGTAACGGAGCAACCGCCTGTTCACACTTTGGGTGGACGCCCAGAATATAAGATTGTAAGCACTGCGGGAATATCGCTCTCACATGCGTGTGGAACCCACCCCCTCCACCACACAACCCCCAACTCCAAGCTAGGCAGTCACCTATTTTATTTTTACATCTCTAATGAAAAATAACTAAACGTAGATTGAAGTGCAAAAGATGAACTGCGTTGTCTTTTCTCCCGAGTGTGTTGACAAATATTAATTGGGTGTGGGTGTTCACCGCCACGGGGGTAGAGGCCTTCATAGGTGATGCTCGCTAACAGCATTTGCCCCAATAGTCTGCTTAAAGGCTATACGGATGATGTTTGTCTTTAGGGAGTTGTAGTGCCGCGGTTAGCACGCTGTTACACAAACCCGGTGACCCGAGTTCGATTCCCGCTCACGGCCATCACCAGTGGCGTTTATCTGAACCAGTCCTGGGCCTCACCTAGGTCTACACAGCCTCAAATGAGTACCTGGTGTGGTGTTTAGAAAATAACATCGCCACTGGGGAGACAAAGGCGGTCAGGCGTGGTGCTGGCCACCCACCCCCTCGTTTTTGTGCAGTTCCACTGGGGTTGGTGAATTGCTGCTACGGACTGAGCGTGCTGTGTCTGACAATCGATCGAAATGAGAGATTGCAGAAGCCACCACTCCGTTTATATAATGGTTGGAGGAGGTATTTGCAACCATTATATAAACGGAGTGGTGGCTTCTGCAATCTCTCATTTACTTGATACAGCTGTCGTGGCTGTGACGGTACCACCTGAAGACGGAAGCTTGTGTTGCCTCCGAAACGTCGTGATTTTTATTTTTTTTATTTTATTTTACTTTTTAATGTTTTTTTTACCTACGTGACTTTACCGAAAAAACCTAAGAATGTGAATTCTTTCCTTGTCAAGGTGTGTGATTGGGGGCCCTTCCCCGTCGCGTGTGGGTTTTCGGGGATGTTTGTTTTTTTCTCTCGGTGTTTACCCAATCAGGTTCTGATAAGTGCCATAGGCGTTCATGAACAGAGTGAATTTTCATTCGGGTGACTAAAAGTCCTCGCGTGCTATCGTGTGCGCTCGCCACTGAGCCCGTGCACTGCCGACGTCCGCGTTTTCCCCCGGTAATTTGTGCGGAAAATTATCTGTTTGCAACTGTCGGTTGCAAATCGGGTATGTACAACAACAACAGCAGCAATAAAAAAACCAACATAATTCACAAAAGTCACGTCGCTGTGAAGCGGTCGTCATTGCCCAAATAATATATACGCTAAAAGTATTTGCAGCTGAGTGTATAATTAAGAAAAACACATCTCTCTACGCGACCGCATTTTTCCACGGCTGCCATGCTTAGGGGCTAATATGTTTTCAAGGCCTCTAATCACCTGGTTATGTGAGATAAATGTTTTGTTGGTCACAATTAATAAGTTACCGCGGTGGCCGCACACAGGTCACCACCGCAGGTGATAGATTGTGGAATATTTCTCCACGGGGGCTGTGTGTGACTCTGCTGTCCGCACTGGTTGTGTTCCTTTGAGTTGTTCAAAAGCAAAAAAAAAAGATAAATGCTCAGAATCTTTCCGCATAATAAGCTCTTATCAGAGCAGTGGCCCCCCCTGCAAATATTAACTGTAGTGGAGTTATTCAAATATCCTCGTTTGTCGTTTCTGGTAACGGAGCAACCGCCTGTTCACACTTTGGGTGGACGCCCAGAATATTAAAATGTAAGCACTGCGGGATTATCGCTCTCACATGCGTGTGGAACCCACCCCCTACACCACACAACCCCCAACTCCAAGCTAGGCAGTCACCTATTTTATTTTTACATCTCTAATTAAAAATAACTAAACGTAGATTGAAGTGCAAAAGATGAACTGCGTTGTATTTTCTCCCGAGTGTGTTGACAAATATTAATTGGGTGTGGGTGTTCACGGCCACGGGGGTAGAGGCCTTCATAGGTGATGCTCGCTAACAGCATTTGCCCCAATAGTCTGCTTAAAGGCTATACGGATGATGTTTGTCTTTAGGGAGTTGTAGTCCAGCGGTTAGCACGCTGTTACACAAACCCGGTGACCCGAGTTCGATTCCCGCTCACGGCCATCACCAGTGGCGTTTATCTGAACCAGTCCTGGGCCTCACCTAGGTCTACTCAGCCTCAAATGAGTACCTGGTGTGGTGTTTCGATTTGAAGCTTTCGTGACTGCAGGGATTCATCTTCTTGGTTCTTTTGGTAAAGTCACGTAGAAGGGAAATAATAAAAATGCCTTTGTCAAGGCGCCTCTTCCCCCTCCAACCCAGTTTAAATATACGCTGCCAAGCATGGTGGTGCCCATTCAGACGCTGTCTTTCCGACAGACCTGTTCTTCACCTGAGGACGGCTGCTTGCATTGTGGCCGAAACGTCGTGAGAATTATTTTATTATGTTTTATTTTTTTAATATTTCCCTTCTACGTGACTTTACCGAAAGAACCAAGAAGATGGTGTGGTGTTTTAAAAAAAAAATCGCCACTGGGGAGACAAAGGCGGTCAGGCGTGGTGCTGGCCACCCACCCCCTCGTTTTTGTGCAGTTCCACTGGGGTTGGTGAATTGCTGCTACGGACTGAGCGTGCTGTGTCTGCCAATCGATCGTTTCCTCCGATATCTGGTCACCTCCCTGAGCACGAGAGGCAAGACGTGTGTGACCCTTTAGAGATTGTAGACCTCAATACGAGGACCTTACACCAAGGCAAATGTAATGGGCGCACCAACGTACCGTGTGGGTGAACCCGTGTCCCCGCTAATGTGGGGGAACGGCATCGCAGTTCGAGTTCTCCACTAGTTTACTCCACTTATCCGCGGGAAGTATTCACGGATAATTATAGGATTGTTTGAAGGTAATAGGAAGACGATTCCCGGTCAGTATGGGACAGAGCTCAGTGACCAAAGTAGGAAGAAGAGGCATTTTTTTTTCTAATTCAGTCAAAATGTCAATATTTCACGAGCTGCAATGCGCGTGGTGAACACGACACTGTGGACATTAATAAATGACGTCATGAAGCGGTCCTTAAAGAGCCGCATAATTATGCATAGAGGGGTGGATAATTATGTTTACCCACTCCACAGATCCTACAGACAAAAGGGGTTGCGGATAGAGGAGTTCCCCTATAAGTGAGTTAACGAATAAATCTTAGCCGAATTTTTTGTTTGTTTGTTAAATCGCTCCATATACAAAACTGTTCCGTATACATTTGTTTTCATCATTGTGTCTGTCGGCTTCGTTCTAAGCGCGATTGTGGTCGTTTTGAAAGTTTGCAGAGTCAAAATCAGAAACGGTTTTAATCACCATGTAAGTTTGCACAAACAAGGAATTCACTATGGCGGGACGGTGCATACATTGAACAAGTAGGAATCTTAACTTATATAAAAGGTAAACACTCTAACTATACTAACGTTACAAAGTATAAGTAATACTAAAGGGCTAAAATCTTTAAAATTATGAATAAGTAGACCTTATAAAATGCGAAATGTAAAATGGAGCAGGATTCATGGCACCTGTGGCTGTCGTGCAGATGACCTCAACCGTCAAAGCCCAGCGAGGTGCCGTAGTGTCCCACGTTCATTTGCGCCACACGGCAGATGTCCGCAAGTCGCACCGGCGTTTGACCTGACATTTGCCTCCCTTTAGAGGTGTAAGTGTTTCGTGCAGCCATATAGCAAACACATCATTCAGAATCAGAATACCTATTCACACTGGAGAAATTCTATGAGCTATACGGCTCTTTATTCACAGATGTCCAGCAGCATTATTACATTGACGTCAACATCATTTGCACTCGTGCGAAATGATGCAAATGTGGCTCATGGGCCTCATAGTGTAGAAGTGGGAACTCCATATTTATGGTTAGCGAGAGGCA